CGCTGGTGCATAATAACACACATATAGTGCAATTGAATTTCCCAAAATATGAGGACATCTTGATACTGCACATGCAACTTTAAGCGTATTGGCCCAAATTATCTATAAGAAAAGGAATTGAGAAGTAACTTGTTAAAACAATCAATGTAAACAATTCATTATGCTAATATATATGTTTATTATTTTTTTCTAATATCTACTATATATATTAGATATATCTAATATGTCTAAGTTAGATCTTGTTAAGGCAGTTTTCATAATGGCAATCTAAATGGTTTTCTTTCAGATATAATTATAATAAATCAAAAGGATAACTTAATAACTAAATAATAATAAAATACATTATTAAAATCATAATTTCTTCTATGTAACTTAGGAAACACATTTTAATTTTCTCCATGGGCATATTACAAGAAACATAAAAATCACAATAGGAATGAAAACAACAATTCACTTTGTTAGTAGAAAAAAACTGTTGTTAAACTGATTGTGCATTTAAAGGTTTGTAGCTTTAAATATACTCTTCCTTTTGTCAAGTCTTAAGATAGGTATGGATTAAGAACATGTGAAGCTTATTTAAAAGGTCAAGGGTAAGAATGGAAAATTTAAGAATTTTTTAAGGTGCAAAGAAAACTAATTTCAAAAGAAAAAGCTTTGTATGGAAAATGGACCATAAGAAAGTACTAAAGATGTGGTGAACGTTTCCAGTCCTTTGTGTCAATGATAGAATTGAATATCACCTGTTCTCTAAATGGAAAGAGAAGGGAATATCATACATATCTTGCATGGAAAAGAAATAACCTAAGAACAAAAAATTCTCCAAACAGATTTTCTAACTTTTAAAACTTTCTAATTTCATTAACAAAATGAATGAAGGTATTTTACAGATTGAGATGTCAATCATTTTTTTTCTCATGGCTGAAATACAGCTATAGTTTGTTATTTTGCTAAACACATTTGATCTTTGTCTGCAGGAACTATAGATGCAAGCATCTTTAGTAGAATACAAGAGAAGGAAGAGAAATTCCCAGGCATTTAAAATATGATAGACAAAAATAGATTCATCGGCTGAAGAAAATGCTAAATCCCCAAATTCTTAACACAAAACATTCAGGAAATCTGGGACACCACAAAAAGACCAAAACCAAGAATAATGGGATAGAAGAATAATAATTCCAGCTCAAGGGCTCAGAAAATATATTCAACAAAATCTTAGAAGAAAACTTTCCCAACCTAAAGAAGGACATGCCTTTGAAGATACAAGAAACTTATCAAACACCAAATAGACTGGACTAGAATAAAAGTCCCCTCACCATATAATAATCGAAACACTATGATTCTTCCTGCCAGCCTGGTCTTATTGCCACATCAGCCCCAAATAAACACACAAAGACTTGCATTATTTATAATGCTGTTGGCCTTCGGCTTGTGCTTCTTATTGGCTAGCTCTGTCTTAATTATTAACTCATAACTACTAATCTAAGAATTATAAGTTAAGTCATAAGAGTTTGTTAGTAATAAGACTGAGCAACAGGCTAGAGAAGTTTATAATTAATATAAGCCTGTATGTGTTTATTTGGGAGTGAATAGCTGCAGGACAGGGCAGGACAGAAACTTCCATCTACATTGGTTCTTTGAGAGAATCATCTAGATGGACAAACCCTTATCCAAACTAACCAAAAGGTGGAGAGAGGATATCCAAATTAACAAAGTCAGAAATGAAAAGGGAGCTATAACAACAAACACTGAGGAAATCCAGAGAATCATCAGATCGTACTTCAAAAACCTGTACTCCACAAAATCGGAAAAGAATAGAAATAAAAATTTTCTTGATAGATACTAAATATTAAAATTAAACCAATACCAGATAAACAATTTAAATAAACCTATAAGCCCCATGGAAATACTATCCCAAAGAAGAAGAAGAAGAAGAAGAAGAAGAAGAAGAAGAAGAAGAAGAAGAAGAAGAAGAGGAGGAGGAGGAGGAGGAGGAGAAG